AGAAAGATCAGTTAGCATATACCAAATATTTTAGGGTGTACATAGTCTAGCAGTTGTAGCATGCATATCTTTTTCTTTCACAATCCTCCTCCAACAGCAGCAGATCACCAGTCTCTCAAGGACTGTGYGATTCATGGTAGTGATCACTTTCAATTGAAAGTACTGCAGCAGCAGCTCCTTTTTTACTGTCTGAGAGGCCAGCTGATCTCTTACAAAAGGGGAAACTTTGCTAAACAAAGGAAGTAATTTTAAAACAAGAAAATAACATCTGTCTACAGATATGTGGGGAGGGAAAGAAGAAATGTGAAAATGGAGATGGTGGGGGAAAAAGATTTGAAGTTAAAAAAAGCTGAAAGGAAAGTCCACGTGGGATCAGAGGCAGCACATTCAAGTGGCAGACTAAATGTAAAGAGACGTAAAAGGAGAAAATACTGGGAAGAGAGAGAGAGTGTGTGTAAAACGAAGCACAGGAAAAAGGTATAAACCCCCCAAACTCATTTAGAGATTAAGAGACTGCTGCACCATCCCATTGCCAGCAGAGGTGCTAAAGCCACGGCTATGGAATAAAGTAGGAAAACGTTCAAGGGAAGAAATAATTCCTATATTTAGGTACGTAGACTATTTCACGATATGAACAATAGTGCAGTGCAGCTACCTAGAAGCCATCAATTTAGAAATTAATTTCTGTGTTAGTCTGTAGTTGGAAACAAAAAGAACTCCAGCAAGAGGCAGAAGAGGTTCCCTGGAAAAGCACTGCAKCCAGCCTGGGAACAGCACAAGATACTTCTGGCGGTGCTGCAGCCAGAAAACAAGGAGACCAGCAGGTACCAGTCTGCAGCTGGGGCACAATAAAACCCTTCTACAAGCTGAGCCAAGAATAATCTTCTTTGAGAGGGCTTTACTACTTACAAATGTTGTTGCTCTTTTCCAAGTGTTTTGTATTTGCTTCAGTGCAGTTCCTNTTTTTTTTTTTTTTCTTCTTTAAGATAATTAAAAGGCTTATTGTAAACCAAAGGGGATTTTCTGGGAGCTCTTTGGGTTTTTAAATTATGCAAATAACTGCACTGTGATGTTGAATGATATTATTAATTTTGTTTTTTTTGGTTCTCACATTCTGATGCATATGTGTGAAACAAGGTTTTTTTTGTTTCCCAGTCTTGGAGTACAATAAGTTTTGAAAAAATGTCCTCAGGCAGATTGCAAAATTGTTTTTCTCAATTTTCTTAATGTTAAAGAGAAATTTAATTCTAATRTTGCAGAGTGTTCTGTGCTGATAGTTTTACAACATCGTGTATGTACTGTGAATAGAACAAACTTCACAAATTATTGTACTTAATGCGGGAGTCCCTTCTGCAAATTCTAAAAAAAGTGTTCTATTAAATGCCATKTATTAAATGCTTGATGATTTACCTCCTAGGCTTATTTGTCATTTTGCCCAGGCTTTTGAAACCCTGAATGAAAAAATCTTTTGCTACAGGAAACTGGTTGATAACTGAATAAATAACACTATAATCTAAGTATTGAACACTTCCACATAGTAAATGTTATTTTGCAATGCATTYCTCTTGCTGTAGCATAAAGTAGAAGTACGCTCTCTACAAATAAATAATATTCTGAATAAAAAGGGTTTACAAACATCATAATTTATKTCTCAACTGCCAATTTCTGGAGCTAAATCTACCAATTTTCACACTATGTCCATTACAAATGAAATTCTCTTTGCATTAGGAGACATATCTTTCATTGTTGCAGAAAAATCTATTTGAGCTTCATTCTCATGTTAGCAGGGTAAGAATACATCTGTCGTAAACATCAAACTCAATAAAAAAAAAAAACCTGAGTGAAAGCTATCATACATGTTTTTTGGTTTTTTTTTTGACTGGACATTTAAAACATAGGGATATGTACATAGTTATGTCCAAAGGCTCAAATGCAGTCCATACCACTGTAATTCTGACTTGGAGACAGACAGTGTAACAGGTTTAYCAAATTATGGTGTCAGTGTCACATTTCTGCCCCAGGAGGAGTCCAGACCTCTTGCTTTCTTTTGGTTGGGGAATCTGTAGCTTTAACAACTAATTTTTCTCCAGCTCACATGAAATCTTTTTATAGAAGTCTTTYTCCATGTACCTTTTTCAGCAATAACCTTGCAGGGAGATAATAAGAACAGACTTAAACATTTTTAATGCTAGATCATCTGTTTATGCATAATATTGATCTGAATGCCAAATTTAGCTGGACATTAAGGAGGGAAAGAGCCATTGGAACATTTGATGTGCAGGCATTTGGTGAAAATGTCCTGAAGATGGTCTGCATTTTAGCCTAATTTGTCAAAATTTGCAGAAAACCATTGCTGTGGGGAATCTGCCTCTGTTGATGTGAAGTTGAGAACCAGAGGGATTCTGCATTCAGTAGCCATTGACTGATTTTTGAGTAGTTGGCACTGCCTACAAAAAAACTTGTGCCTTCTGTGATYACAGTGACCTGCTGGGAAGTTACAACTTTTTTCACCATTATAGTGGGATCCGCGATTGGCAAGACCTGGATTCCCAGGTTTCATTACTTCTCCTATGATATTTCCCCTAACATTGTTTAGATTAGTGCAGAGGCAATGAGCTCTGAATTCACTCATCATGTGCATGCATTGTCTGAGGAATTCATGCAGCTGCTTCCTATCTGTACTGCCAGGGGTGCCTGGATGGTGCTYTGCTGCTTTCCTGCTCTCCAGGTGCACCCCTGGTTTTGTGCTCCTCTGTCAGACACCTACCCCTCATGGCAGCTCACTCCTGAAGTCATTTTARTCTTCCTTCTATTTTTAAAGGGCTGGCCAGGTGATTTCTTATACTGCTACCAGGTTTAACATCTGGAAGCAAGAAGTCTATCTGCATATATCTTCACTGAAATTATATGTAGTATTTTTTCTTCATTGTTTCATATGGGAAGTAGAAAATGGGATCTATCAGCTATTACAGACACCTTTCACTTCATTAGTAAAGACTTTCAGTTTTAGAGCTGTCTTTCCCCTGTATGGGATAYCCATGCTAAGAATGGCTGTTTATGGAATATAGGATTATGAAAAAAGACAGTATATTTGTATTAATAAAAACTTTTAATTTTTATTTTTGTGCTCTACTCAGAGACATTTGGTGYCTGAGTGTAGTGCAAATTAATGTAAAATAAATGCTTTGTATTTATGTAACTTGTTTGGTTGTAGCTCCATCAAAAAAGAACAGGAGCTTTTTTCATCTAACATGTGATTACTAGTTTAGTACTACATTTGTTTAGTTTCTGTACAGAAAGATGTTTGCTACATAAAAGCATCCTCAAATCTGAATGCATGGTTGGCTTTTTTAATGAAAAAAAATTAACTACTGTGGRACTTCAGACACTAGTGGGATAATATAGGAAATTTCTCTTGCTGGACATATGGATAGGCTGAGGACTTAAATCTTCTGAGCAATCAATCCACTGGCTTTATGAATGCTTAGGGAAAAAAAGGAATATGTTTCTGGATATGGGATAAAAAATCTTGCTGCAGGATATGCAAAGGCCATATTTAAAAAAATGCATCTGTATGGTAAAGTCTCATGTATCATTGCAACTGACTGAGCAGAGCAAGTGAAAAGAAAAAGAAAAAACAGGAAAAAAACCTTTTCTTATAACAGATTTTTAGGGAACACCTCAAAAGGAAAGAAAATGTATTCAGGTTGCTCTTCTGTCAACAAGAGCAAGATATTCTGCTAAATATATTCCTAATTTTAGTGCCAATTCAGCAGGTCTAGCATGAGACAAATCCTTCCTTGGGAGAAGYATTGTTCATTAAATGTGCTGATTTATGACACAGAATCAGCTGTATTTTAGTGATGGTTGCACTAGACTGTAAAGCTCGTTTGTGCTTAATATACTAGATAAATTGTTCCTGGCTTCTTAGGGTGTGACTATACTTGCTGTCACGCTCCCAAGTTTACTCAAGGACTGTGTGATTTGCTGMGTAGGTGTCATGTAAAGGAAAACCCAACGGGATGGATTTTATATACCTGTTTTTTCCCCCTAATTCCATGTTGACAAAAAGCCTTTTTTGTCCCTTTTTACTACTTTTCATCAAAGGAAAGTCTCCTCAAGGCTAAGGCAAATTTTAGCAGCAAGGAAAATGACCACCAATAATCTGMGCAGTATGAAATTTAACACGGCAATTTTGTTTCAGTGAGAAGAAAATACGGGTTGCTGGCTGTCAAAAAATTMCATGCTGAACCTTAACATCATGGGCAGCAGCTTTAAAATCTATTTAATATTCTTATTTCTTCAGTTAAGTTGTTTCCTCCTTCCTTAATAACAGGTTGTGGGATTAAATCTTAGCTTTTCATATTTACTGGGAAAAGYAGTATAGCAATTTATGAGTAAAAATGTACTTTGAATAAATTATCATTGCAAATTACAGCTTATGGAAGTTGCCTCTATAACCATAATTACAACATTGGCTGTGCACAATTTGAAATCTTGCTTGCTGAATAAATTTGTTTTCATTCAGATTACATTCCCAACATTTTGAGAAAATAGTGAATCAAACCTCACCGACAAAATTTCCTACAGGTTTATCGAAAAGGTCACCTTTGTTTGCTAAATTTACCTAAAACACAAGCATTTCTTTAATTAGTGAGATGCTATTTTAGTCTGTTATGAGAATTTCCTACTCAGGTTTACTAAAACATAGATTCATAAGGAGACTCACAAGAGCTCCCATATTACACCATGCCTTTAGTTATCTCTGTATCCAAAAATTGCTAAAGTTAAAATTGATTGTGCAAGCAGGAACGAAAGAAACAGCCAATAGCCAAAATTAGGTATATTACTGTAAATTGGAGAGACGGGGGAGAGGTTTAAAGCTCTATCTGGCAAGAGAAGGGTTAAGGACTTTTTTGCTATACCCGTTTCAAATTACAATGAGAAGCCTCTTCTTTCCCAGCAGGGTTGTGCTTACATTAGTCTTTAGATCTCTCTTGAAGAGAGCTGTTATATTTGTGCCTGCTACAGTTGGAAATAACAGTTCAGAAGCTGAAAAGGGTTGAATGGATTTACAGAAGGTTATTTTTTGCAAGTAAATTCATGGCAACACATTAATTTGATTAGTACATGCTTTAGAATTACTTTACACTCAAGCGATTCAAAAGATGTCAAAGTTGTCACCAGGCTGCTGGACAAATATGTGTTACACCACCAAGGTACAGATCAAGACAAATCTGTGACTCAGGATTTTATCTTGGGAAGAGCGCAAGGTGTACGAAGAACTCAGAATAACGAGGGAAGATAACTCTGGGAACTACAATGTGTCAGAAGAACATCTCTTGCTAATACAGCTCCCCACCCGAGACCCGGTTATCTAAGGTTTATATAGGAATGCCTAGGTCAGCTGACAAAATACTGGTCTTCTGCTCCATAAATGCAGAAAAAACGATAACAACAGTGGAAAATTGGAAGTCTGAATTTCAGCTTTCTTAGAAATAACTGCAACCTGACACATTCCATAATATTTAAACAGGGTGGGGGGAGAGGAATCACCAAAGATGTTACGTTTAGAGATGACATTGACATGAAGAATAGGTAAATTTTGTTTTTCAGCTACTGGGAAAGCAGACCTCATAGGAACTCAGAACAAGTAGGAGAAAAGTTTTGTTTTTTTTTTTTTTTTCCTTGTTCCTTTTCTTTTCAAAGATGAACCTTACTGCGCTCAAAGCTTTCGTGGGCTTGCTCTGGAATTGCTGGGTTCTGGTGGGTCACGCACAGGGAAGTTTAGGAGACAATCATGTCCATTCGAGTTTTATTTACAGGAGGCTGCGGAACCATGAGAGAAGGGAGATTCAGAGAGAGATTCTCTCTATCCTGGGTTTACCTCACAGACCCAGACCATTTTCACCAGGAAAGCAGGCTTCTTCTGCACCCCTCTTCATGCTGGACCTGTATAATGCCATGACAAATGAAGAGGATTCTGAGGAGCTGGAGTATTCACTAAAGGGATCAGTGGCAGGGGAGACCAGAGGGATACGAAAAGGATACCCTGCCTCTCCAAATGGATATTCGCGTGGAATACAATTATCTCGCATGACCCCCCTGAGCACACAGAATCCTCCCTTAGCCAGCCTGCACGACACCAACTTTCTGAATGATGCTGACATGGTCATGAGCTTTGTCAATTTAGGTACGTGGAAATATTTTTTGTCTTTGCTCTCTCTGACAAACTGTTAGCCCTGATCTTGTGAAGGGCAAACCTCTCGGCCRAACCGTAACCTGTTCTAACACAGCAGGATTGGGCCCAGGCTGCTGTGCCACTGCTAAAAGAAAAATCATATGGATGGTAAAGTAGCTACATTGTAGGTGGCCGTGGAAAAAGATTTTTCTCACTGTTTATATAAAGTCAGTTTCTATAACTTCCCTCTGCTGGCTTCTGTTTTCTTTCTTTCATTGATGTAATGAAAATTCTAGCCTTAGGCCAACTAACTCCTTTTTTTTTTTTTTTTTGTAAATCTCTAAAAATCAAACACTTATGCCTATTGCTCAGTTATTTCCCTCAGCGTTTTCCTTAGAACTCACACATGAACAAACATCAGTTGTTAACATTTTAAAGCCTAGAAAGGTATGAAAAGGAAAAAGTTGAACCATTAAACACCCCCCTCCCCCAAAACATTCTTATGTTATTTAGTGGGGGGGTTTTCTGTTGTTAAGAGTCAGAGTTTTATTATCTTTTTAGCTGATGGCTGGATTTTAAACAATCTGTTGCTGCTCCTTTGTTATTTCTATTCAATAACCACAGGCTGTGTTTTATTATACTGCTGTGGTGCTCAGAATCTACAATGGTTCTTATTTTCTGTGTCATAAATAAATTAAATGACAAGTACAGTATCAAACTCCAGAAACATGCAAGCAAAGAATGCTTTTGAAAATTATATCAATTCAGACACAAACCTGATAAAACTAAATTATATTTGCCTCTGAATGTAATAAACATGCTTACCAGTTAAATTGTAGGTTAAAGAAAAGCAGTTACAGATTTTTTTTACTAAAAGGCAAATTAAATCTCATAAAGAAAGCTGAAAATAATTCATGAAAGGAATTTGGTATTTTTTAAAGTATTTTGAATACTGCAGGACTCATACATTTGGCTGGAAAAGTATCTTCTCTTTGGACATGAATAGCAAGAGATTTAATTGAAAACGTGAAGTGTCACAACAAGCTGGTACAAATTCTGATGAACTCCTGTTTTCCAGGGTAATACTTTCTATAGAAACATTTTTAACAGTGGCACGTGTTCCAAAATACCTTCAGTTTATCACACACATTCTGTACTTCTTATGTCTACCATGTTTTTAATAAATACTAAATGCTCCATATACTAAAATTGTAGGAAAGTAACATTCTAGAGTTTATTTGTCATAATAATCAAATCACTTTTCATTAATTATTTGGCTCATAAGGAGGTGTTCAAGCCTGAGATCTTTTTCCTTAAGAGTAGCATATGTCCACACCTCTAAATACATTTGCTTGTTGCTTTTGCTCCMGAAATAGCAGGCTCGGAAAAAACAGAATCTGTTTTTTTGAATATGTGTTCCYTATCRATAAGAAATAGTTCTATATTGCCCMTGTATTACTCTTAAATTAACATTGCATGACTTGCTTTGCCCAGAGTATCTAGAGTCAGCTGAATTTTGAATGGCAAAATTATACAGAAAAATAGGAAATGCTCTGATCCTCAGCATTAGTCAAGGCACTGATCCTGCAAAAATCTTCCTGACRTGTCCTGAGAAATCCCCTCTGTAAATATCTCACAGACTAGTCCATCAGCGTCCCTGAGGACTATTTACATGGGACCTAGGCTTTGATTTCAGAAATGTCTTTGATTACAGTAGGATTTCTTGCAGTGAATGAGTAGAAGTCTTTGAAGTTTCAGTGTCAGATATATCCTAGGCTGATCCTACTGTGTTTCCCCAGACAAAAACCTGCTCTGGAAGAACTCAAATTTCCACTGAGTGTCTTACCTTGGGTGGGAAGTTTCTAGTATTTGTCTCGTTTTGTTGGGAAACCAGTGTTGCCTTAAGAAAGTAATTCTGAAAAGCTAAAGCCCATCTTATGTTTCAAAACTGTGAAAACTGGGGGCGAGATGTRTTTTTATAGTGATTAATATTAATAAACACCACAAACGTATAACAAAATACTGTGCAAATATCAGCTTTTATTTGGCATCTATAAAATTAAAATGTGTCTCAGCTCTAAGTCAGTTTAAAACCTAATTCCCTTAAATACCCTTCCATACAMGTTGGATATTGCGGTAGATCACACATTCCACTGTGTAAAACGCGTAAAAAATATTGATGACCAATATAGATTAACTTCAACATTTTTATTAAACAATCCTATGTTTCAGCATAATTAACATAAAAATGGAATAAATCATGGGAACAAGTAACCATTTTATATGATTTACGCAGTATGAGATTGTGACAGATGAGGGCAAGCTCTTTTAATGGAGAATGGGGAAAAATATGCAGTGATAAGTGAATGCTAATGCTGTACCTTAAAATCAATAAATGCTGATGCAGCGCAGTAATAACTCAAATGGATTTAGAATTGAAGCCTCAGTCAACTTGCATCAAATAAATTTACTCTGAAAATAGCATTCACCATTTTCATACTTGCACACCATTAGTTACATAGTGTGTAATTATAAAAGTCTATTAATCATGAAATTTTAAATTGAAACTTTTCTATGTAGTTGTACCAGCTATAGTAATTTAAAATACATATAATAAAACAATAAATATGCACTTGAGATTTTGGATAGAAATTATTAAGCATGAGAATTCAAAACACTGAATAAAGTTAAAAAGAAAAAAAAAAACCAGACATGAGCAAATAATTTTATATTAAAGAATAAAAATTTAAACTTATATGCTAATTTTGATTTAAACCCCAAGCTGTCAGAGTTGTAAATACCTCACTTTCAAAAACAAATTTAGAAAATAATCATCAAGGGAACTGCAATCATAATTCTGTCAAGCAACGAGGGAGAAAAATAAGAATGCATTTATTTCTCCTGAAGTTAAAATTGTAAACACCTGCTCTTTCTACTGGAATCCATATCAGAATTTCCATCTCTTTCTTTCTTGAAAAATACAACAAGACAGAGACTATGTCTTGTCCTGTGTTTTGTATAAGACTGTGTGCGTTGGCAACTCTCCACAAATATTAATGAGTGTAACAGAGGAGTTAACTGGGTTTGGTCCAACAGCCAGAGAATAAATCCTCCACTACACGCACTGGGGTTTTCAAAGATCTGATTATATCACCTACAAATTCAGAACTTTGTTTTTCTGACTGTGTGTTTTTTTATCCTCTTATTATATTTTATTGTATTATTGCAAAGCCCTGACTCTTTGGAGTTCTGGCATCTTCTTTTTGGCTGGACTCCCAAAATGACATATATAGGATACCCTGTTCCCCAGGGAGCAGGCAAATAATACTTACATAGTCCCACTCACGTTTTGCTCACTCAAAATTTAGTTAGAGAAGGACTTTTTAAAGATAAATGTTAGTGTTCCCACTCCTCACCTCTTWCAGAAAGAGGGGGAATGAATAAAAAATATCTACATGGATGAGGCTTGGAAAAACAGCAGCACTTTTGTAAACTATATTTAAACATTTCAAATACTGATTTTTTTCATTATCATCAAAGCAATCATTAAATCTGTTATACTTAAATGTTCCTTCTCGTGAAATTCAAATGGTCTATACTTACCTTTTTTTTCAACACATCTGTTAATTTTTCTCCTAGCAGATTGYTTCATTCACTAAAGAAGTCTGTTTGCTTTCTTCATGTTTTCCTGTTAATTGGCATAAACCTACCATAAAATAGGAGATAGAAATGCAAGTTTTGTGGTTTTCTGTTATGTTTTCTATTGTAAGCACATAAAATTGATTTCAAAAACTTGAATATGAAGATCACAATAAAACTTATGATCCTGATGTACATATGCTAAGAAGGATACAATATTACTGAGATTTTTTTAAGTAACCGGTGCACCCCAGAAAGACATTTTTTCTTCTCACACAATGCAAATGCGTCCACAGTCTTAGAATAATTTTCAAACTGCACGTGTTGAGTTCATTTCTTAAACCAGACACTGAAATCAATGGAAATTTTATCTGTGGTACAGAGGACTGTTCATATATCTCCAGTTTTTCTACCCCATGTTTGTACACTGTCTTACAGATTATATKCTTCTTTAAAATCTGAATCACTAAGCCAATACATAAATTCAAAAGATTTATAATCCATTGTGCTCATTGGAAAATGCTAACTTGGCATAGAACGACTTTTTACAGCTACTTTGAGAAACCTATAGTACATCAATCCACACAAAATACCCCCACAAAATATATTTTTGCTGCACACAAAAAAGAAAGGATTCCTTACTGCAATCAGACCTTGAGCATACATAGTAGCTCGTTTCTTAAATTAAACTAATTCAGTTTCTACAACCTTCCACTCACAGCTAACATATCATCAGCGAGGGATATGGAGTGCTAAGCTATAAAATGCCAGGAGCTGAGGAAGGGGTTTGAAGGATACACACAAAAAGGCCTCAGGATCATTAACTTCTCTCCTAAAGCTTAGGAATGAGCACATTTTCTTTCTTTTCCACAGGATTTCAGATGTTGCTGTCTTAATTTTAACTGTACGTGAATTTTCTTGGCTGTGGTACAGTTTTAGTATATAAATGCAGGCTTCTAATGAAAATATTGACACAGCCTTAGCTGAGGTGATGGAAATAGTGCTATTATCTTGCCTTGAACAGAGGGATGCTATTACAGAGATAAAACTTGTTAAATAACAAATAGACACCCCCCCCCAATGTCTTTAATTGTAGAATTGGACCAATGCTGAGAAAAAWTGAAAAAATATTTGTGAAGTTTTTATTCAATGGCAACCCCGAGTTAAAAAGATGTTGTTCTTCCCTGTTTTACATAAAATTTAGAGCAAATTAGATCAAGTAGATCTCAATTTTCATCCAAAGTAAACATCACTCAGCATCTTGAAATCTTAAGATTTTTTCCCCCATATTAAAGTTTTGTCACCCTATCAGTAAACGGAATGAATTTCTTGTGACCAAGTGCACTCAAGCATTAGAAATAACTATGAATTA